CGTTTCTCCCTGGGCTTGTCCGTTGACGATCCCGTGCCGTCCTCCACGTCGATGACTTCCTCAATCTTCCGCTTTGAGGGTCCCGTCTTCTCTTGACCCCATCACCTTCCGTGCCCTTACCATCTCCGCCTTTTGCGTCTTTGGCTTTGGCACTCCGCCAACATCGCTGTTGTTGGGCGTGATTACCCCATCCTGGGTAACTCATCTCCCACCTTTGTTGCAACAGATTTCGCAGAACAGGTGGCTGTTATTCCTGGTCCGCTCTTCATCCGGTGGATAAGCTGCTTTCAGTTCAGCTACACGTTTCCACATCTTTACACATTCTCTTTCGCTCGGTGTCCCTCGTCTTCGTAGTAAAAGCAAACGCCATTACTTTCACCCCAGCCAGGGTTGGCCAGCCAATGCCTTACTCCTTCAAGGCTCTTCTGCTTATACTCGCCCTCTTTCTCGTGTGGCGTCTTATGCTCGCCTTCTTTCTTCAAGATGGGCGGCACTGCCTTCGCCACCGGCACGCCCTTCGGCTCTGCCGGCCTTTCATCACCCCGCACTTTCTTCTTCGGCTTCTCCTCAATTCCTTCAGGGGTTTCTCTTTTCTTCTCATCATCTTCTTCGACGACTTCGCTCGGCGGTGGTGTTCCAGCTGCGCTCCCGCCTTCATAACGGCCTTTTGCTCTCTTCATCAATTGCTTCAACACATCTTTCTGCTTAGACTGCACCTTGTCCACTTCATGGCCCTTGAAAACCCGCTTGCTTTGTTCATCAGTGCAGCACTCTTCCAACGCTTGATACACATCTTGCAACATCATAAATGCTTCCCGTGACGCCTTAAGTGACTCTTGGGATGCTTCCAACCCTGCAGCGAGCTCGTTGCCTACGCTTGAACCCTCCTTTATCTTCTTCTCCAAAGCCTTTTGCACTCTCAGTTCTTCAAGCTTTGTTTTCAAGTGCTTCATCTCGAGTAGAAGAATCTTCAAGCTCTTGATTGCTTGACTCAAGATCGCTCTCGGTACATTCGTGCGTAGTCTCAAGATCACAGATCCACTTTTCAAAATCCCTGACAAGGCGTCCTACCCTTGTTCCAAACCCAGTCGGGAGATCTGCGATAAGCCTCTTGAGCTAGCGTATCGTTCTCTCAACTTCACTTCCTTGTCCTTTTTAAAGAGTTCAGGAATTCTGCTCAAGTCATATTTTCCTTGGACCACTTGCCATATCGCGGCTGTCTGCTCATCTATCGGGGTCCTTACGACACTTTGCTCTTCAGCCTCCTTTTCTTTCGGCTCTTCACTTCCTTCGGCCTCCTTTTCTTTCGGCTCTTCACTTCCTTCAGCCACCTTTTCTTTTGGCTCTTCACTTCCTTCAGCCTTCTTTTCTTTGGGCTCTTCACCTTCCTTATCAGTGCTGCTGTCGCTGCTGCTACTCTCTTTGGCTTTCTTCACTTGCTGCTCTCGCCGCTCCTTCGCGGCATCTCTCATCTTCTTCAACCCATCTTTCCTCGCTTCCATCTGTTTCTCCTGCTGCTTCTCCTTATTGTCTTCTTCATTTTCTGGGTCTGACGCTGCTTCTTGGCTTGGGCTTTTCGGCCCTTCTTTCCCATTGATCGCCTTTGCGACACATCATCTCCAGCACGCTTGAGCTCCTTATCAAGCATATTCACCGCCGCTATCGACTTCGACTCTTGGATAAGCAACTTCTTCACTTCTTCAACCCAAGCATCCCACACATGATATCTGGCCTTTCAAGCGCCAAATATAACAATACCCCAACACCTTTCCTGAAGATGAGCGGGGTGTTCCGTTTTTCTGTTTTTGGAAAGCTCTTGCATTGTCCGCTGGACACGGTATTTTCTTCGGATATGCCCCTTCGAGCTTTAGCACTTCAACCCATCCTTCGATGTACTTCGCATTCATCGTGATTTCCACATCGCCGTCGTTTGTTGATCTAAATCCTCTTTTCAAGAAACTCATCGTTCCTTCTTTCTCATCCAATTGGCCTTCGACCTTGATCTTCAATCCTTTCCTTTCAAGAAATCCACACGCTTTCGAAAATCCTTCCTTCAATCATAAAGCTCCGTGTCATCAACACGCGACAACACGATGATGCCTTGCTCACCTTGCTCATTCCTTCTGTAGAACAGTGCTGGCAGACCTTCGTCTGACTTCATTCCAAACTCTTCCAAGCATCGTTTCGACGTGTTGAACCACGCACTTGATCCAATCCTCTGGCCTGGGAGCGTAAATCCCAACGCGTAGTACTTTCCATCAACTTCAACACACTTGGACACTTGGCTCACTTGACTCTTCTTGCTCTACCATCAGGTACACATCTCCAACATCAATACTTCCAAATATGTACCCAACAGAGAAAACAATCTGACAGTAACTTCACTGCACTTGCTACTCCTGTCGGCGAAAACAGACTTGCAATGTCACACGATGATAGCCATTTAAATTCTCTAGGTTCCAATCTTCCTCGCTGTCTCCACTTGCCTCCGCGACGTCGCCAATCATACGCAACCGTCGTTGACACAAACTTGTATCTTGACAAGCCACTTCCTTCAGGTACTTCTTTCAATACTCCCATCTCGGTAAGCCTTTCAATCTCGCTCATCCGCGACACTTCGTCCACCTTCTCAAGCTCAGCTTCTTCCAACTTCCATCTTCGAGGTCACGCGAGACCAAGTTGGTCCTTCTTCAGAAACTTCTTCACCTTCAGACATATAGCCCACTTCTTCTTCATCACTTTCAACCGCGGTTTCCTTATCTTCGAACTCTTCACGTTCAATTTCTTCATCAATGTGATACCTTGGTGGCTCATTCCTCGTGAACTTCTCAATCTCTTTCACAGCTCTCACTTCTTTCACACGCAATACATGACTTACAGGTTCACCCTGCAACACATTCAGAGCTTGAAACTTCTCTGCTCTCGTCGAAGGGCTCCCTTCCTCCACAGCTGGCACAGTGAGGGTGGTGGAGGGCCCTTCCCTGCCTTGCAGGAATGCCGAGGACCTGGCGGTCGGGCTCTCCAGGGGAGCCTCCCACAGGAGGGCGGGCAAGGAAAGGGAGGACGATGCCGTTGGAGGCATAGGTCAGATGACTTAAGTCCGTCATTGTCGGAAGGGTATGGGCAGCCAGCTGCTGCACAAAACACTCTGGCCTCACCCTCAGTAGGGAAGCCGTGGCACACGGCGGTGGTTCCAGGCAGGGAGCCCACTGCATGCTTGAAGGAGGTGAAGCTGCGGTATACAGCCGGGGCCTTTTCAGAAGAGTGCCGGAGCACCACGTAGAGCCTTGACCTAACCTCCAGCTTGAGAGAGGCGTCGACGACGTCCCTCTCCCCAGCAAGAACATGGGCGGCAGATAGGCCGGCGACCCAGGCTCTGGAAGCACGAGCCTCACGCACACAAGTGCCCAAAGAAGAGCACAGGTAGATGCAATCCTCAAGGCAACGGCCCGCAGGAAGGGGAAAGCGGGGGCCTAAACCGAAACTTAGGGGCTGGGGAGGAGTGCACAGCAGAGGGCTCGGGACTAGGGTCCTTAGAGGTCCTAGGGGGGTCCTTGGCAAGGGGTCCACAACAGTCCAGCCGTCGGAGCTGGAGGGCCTTTGCAAAGCCCGAGAAAGACAGCCGGTGGCGATGTGCAGTTTGGAGACAGCTTCGGCAAGGATGTCCAGGTCCACGGATCCCTGAGGACCCTCGTCACTCATCGAAGTAGCCCGAGAGCCTCACACTGAGGCTGGACTCCCTCGGTCGAGGGTCCTTATCAACAAAGAACTCCCTGAGCAGGAGGTGACGGAGGAAGAACAGGGTGAGGAGGGCGCCGCTCGTCGCGCCAGCGAGGAAAAGGCACAAGGAAAGGAGCAGGCTGCTAGCGCAATGCGCCGAACCAGCAACCAGTAAATCCAACAGACCTACCAGCCAGGGAGCCATCAAGCTTGAGCAGACGCATTGTCAAAGTCGCCCTTACATGTCAGCAGCATGTTCTGGTGTTCAGTGCTGCTGAAATGCAAGAAATAGAGAGCAGATGCCGGTTGGATAATGGGGGCGAGGCAAAGAATTAAGAATGAGGTGTGCGGATCAGACATCGTCGTGTAATGACGGGGCGACAAAGAATTGCGAGCAAACGGACAGAAACTCGTCAGGTTGTGACGGCATTTGCAATGAGGCGTTTCCCTCATGCGGAGGTTATGGTACAGTGTGCAGGTACAGTCCCCCGGCATGGGGATTCAAAACTTGGGGACGTGAGGTGTTCCTTGTAAACACAATAACGAACACAGATAAGGGAAACCCAAGAACACAGCGCTCACACTTCACGGTCCCCCCAAAAACTTTTACACGCACTCCCCTCACTGGTCCTCCCACGTGGTGTTGACTTTGGCCGGCTCGGCCGTCCGGAGTCTGGGGCCTGTTTCCCCTTCTGCCCCTGTCTTCACCCTCTATGATAGAGGAGCTCGCCATCGAAGGAGCCGTAGATCACGAGGTTCGCGCCCGTGCCAACATCACGACCCTTAAGCAGGACTTTTCCCCCGCCCAGCGTTGGGTAGGAGAGGAACGGTATTGGCCTGTAGGGCAGGGCCTGGATGGTGTAGGACACTGTTAGCTCCCCCGTCACAAGGTCGGAGAGGAAGCTCTTGCAGTCACCGCCCCCCGTACAAAGGAGTAGTGTCACGTTCTTGCCGATGTTCTGTATGGCTCAAGGCGCCCTTTCCCTTCGGAAGCTAGTTACCGGCGAGAGGCGGAGGCTCCGACCCCTTCGAAGGCACAGTTTGAAGGGACCTTCCCCCCCAACCTCCCTCTTGAGCTGTCGAGGACCACGGCGTCTTCGAAGTCGGTGTAGGCACCTTGAGCCAAAATGGCTACTCTCTCTCTTTCTCTCTTGCTTGCTTGCTTGCTTGCATGCACGGCGTTTGGGGTTGGGGATGCAACTCCCCTCCCCCTGCTCTCTGATTCGGATCCTTACCAACCTGCTCAAAAGCATGAACACGAAACAGTGGTGCCCTCCTGCCTGCATGACTGCAAAAGTTGCTCACAGCAACACGACATGGAGGACAAATTGCTAGAGTCACGCCTCAACTCGCTCAGGTCAAGGTCCATCGCAATTGACAAGCAAGCGCAAAGCTGCCAGTAGCAAATTAGAGGCAAGAGACCCACCCAAGCCAGAGAGGGCCAATGGAAGACTCTTTGGCGCTTTTTGCATCTCGCTGCTCGCTCGAGGCCCTCGAGGCGAGCACATACGGAAGCTGCCATGACAACACGGATTCTGACGTTTCACTTTCTAGCAGCGAAGTCTCTTGTCAACTCTTTTGCCCCCAAGCCCGAAAATGCAGTCGCGTCTGTTGATACTAATGTCTGCTAATGCCGATGTGTTGAGGCCGACTCAGCTGCAGTTAGCAAGAAAAGCCCAGGAAGTGGAATTGCCATAGAGCTCGTATGTGCACGGGGTGGGGCACTTTTGGATTCTGCCATCCACTTCGTTGTTGCGCCTTGTCCTTGTGAAACCATAAGACTGCTGCACTTACATGCTTCAATTTCAATTGAGATGGTCAGAGCAAGGCCTCAAGCTACGAGTTAAGCATGTAGAATGTAGCTGGAAAGGATGGATGACAGTCAAGCATAGCGACTGTGAAAGGGATGCTTCATGCTTTAGATGCGACTTAAGACTGCCACCTCGAACAACTAATGTACTTGGGGTCATTATTGTTACTGTCCCGCCGGAAAAATGTACAAGGATCCCTACGTGGGAACAGCCGGAAATGTACTTGAAACGTCCGGGCATCCATGTAACACCCCCTCCGACTACAATAGCTTGGGGAGGGGTGGTCTCAACGCTGGTGCTTCGGCAAGCGTTTGCCTTCACTTCCGGCAGGTCCAATGGCATGGGCATCGCATACTAGTTGTCCTATGCGCCGAGGGGGGCACTGACCATCTGAATGCTGCTCTACCAGGCCCGACATGGAGCAAGACTGCAGCAAGCCCGCTGGCTCAGTTGCAGCATGACGCATGTCCGGGTGAACCCGGTGCTCATCAGCTAGTCATCTTCCATGGCATCGTCTTCAAAGTCCTCTTCCTCTTCTCCTTCTTCCATCATTTCCTCATCTTCCGCTTCGTCCTCCTCTCCACTGCCTGGCTGTAATGCAACGTCGGAGATATGCGACATTAAAACACCAGAACAAGTATGCAGCACTCAGTATAGCTAGACAGCTCCGATACTGGTCACTTGGAAGGCCCACATGTCTGTATCGTAGGTCTCTTCCGTACACTTTCAGACACTCCTGGTCTCTCAAGGTTGGCCTTGTTCTTGTTGTCACCACGATCCAGCCAGGTGCATTGCAGACAACTCTGCTTTCGGGCATGGCATCGGCGACTAGATGCCAGTGCTTTTGGACAAATGAGGACTCAGTGCAAAACGGTCGGCTCCTGAAAGTCACCACAAGTGAAAGTAGCAAAAGATCAGAAAGACGCTGCAAGCTTCCTTTGTCGGATAGCCAACGAACGCCACTGGAGTCTGCAGGAAAACCTTCGATAAGCTTCATCCCGTGAAAGGACGGGACGATTTGTCCATGTGAACCTCCCCCAACACTGCCAACACCTGAAACTGTGCCGAGATCTTTTTGAACAACGCAAGCATCAGGAAAGAAACCCATCCGTGCCAGCAGAAGCAGCAGCATCATCATCATCATCATGGCCGGCCAGTGTCAATATGAGCATCCGCACATCACTGCAAAGCGATGCGCGAGCCCTGTGGTCCAGCCAGGATTGGCGGTCGCGCATGGGAACCATGCGAAAACCACTGCATCACAACATACATACACTCTGCACATCGAGGGTTCAATGTCTTAGGCATCCGCGAAGCCAAACCGTCCACAAACATCACAAAGACAGCATACCCCGCCAAAGGCTGGACACACCACCCCAGGCTCCCAACCAAAAAAACTTTCGCCATCACAGGCCTGTATCGTGTTTGAAACCACGACTGTGTGAAACGATGCATTTCAAAATGCACAATGCGCTTTGTGTCCCCCACTGTTCCAGCCTGTAGAGACAACACCACAATCTCCATCAGCTCATCAAAGCAACAAACTCAACAAACCGCGGCACCTTCGCAGCGTTTTCAGGAAAAAAACATTCACAGCATTCCAATTCGGCGGCAGCCTGGCGATGCCAGCGAGGCACGCAGCCCGGAGGGGGCGCTTGCCGAGCTTGCCGAGGCTGAGGCCTTCGCCTTCTTCTGAGTCGCCTTAGGCAGGCCGGAGCCACGGCCCCATCTTTTGACCCGCTCCCCTCATAAGGCGATGGCGATTAGTTACAATTCTTAAACCACGCCCTAATCAGGCGATGGTGGTTGCTCACCCTACCCCGCCCCTCATGGCTGATCAAAGCAAAGGGCAGGAAGCAAAGAGCAAAAAAAACCCAGGAACGCAGAGGAGCAAAGAAAACAAAAGGCAAGGACGGCAAAAGCAGAAAATCAGCAGAGAGCAAGAAGCTGAAGCAAGAAATGTAAAGCAACAACTAAAAGCAGAGAGCAACGAGCAAAAAGCAAACCAAAGCGGCAGACCGAAAAGCGGGTAGCATGCAAGCAGCGGGGGCAAAGGGAAGAGCCGCACCTGAGCTAGCTTTCGAAAAAGCAGCACGACCCTCTTTCTGGGGTCCAGGTTTTTTTTGGGTATTTTTTTTGGGTATTTTTTTGGTTTTTTTTGGTGTTCTTTTTTGGTTTTTGGTGTATGGATGCTAGAAATTGTATAACAGTCACAAGGATGGGTCTCAGGTCGAGGGTCCACCTGGTTTTTGTTTAGGTATTTTTTTGGTTTTGGCTT